TGAAATTGGCAAAGCTTATGGTTCACTGCGAATCAAGTGAAATAAATAAAGTTGTGTCTGGTACAATCTACAGCAACTTCTGTTGATTATCCTTGTTCGCTCCTCTACACTTTATACATATTTTTTCCAGATTATCATGTTTGCTTCCAAAAAGGAGATGACTAATGCACTTGCTCCAGAAGGTGGGTATGTTCCCTGAAAAACTGCGCAAGCTCCTCTATGATGTGTAGTTTGGATTTCTAGACCATTCATGGCGTTAGAATTGGGATCAAGTAGTAATTCAAGGGTCTAAGGAAAGGAAAGACAAGAAAGAAGGGAAAAAGGGATTGAAAGGATTTTCTCTGCATCAAGGAAAAATCCTTTTCATGAGCAAAGGTGCGGCCTCCAACAAACACGAATCATAGTCTCTCGCATGTGAAGAACCACTTTTAACACTGCTCCAAGGAGCCGCCGGGAATCTGATAACCCCACGTTTTTTTGTGTTCGCTTTTGTTAGGAGCTCTTTAAAGTCACCATCATACTGCCGTTTAGAGAATCGTTCGGCAAATTTAGAAAGCAGATTCGAGATTGGCATACGTAAACGCGTCTAGCAGTATGAGTCCTATCCCTAGTGACCATTTCGACTTGGGAACCGCCCTGATTAGCTGGTTGATATGAAGAAGCTCTCTTCTGACAATGATAAGATGCGACCCTGAAACCGGAGAACATTAATCAATCCCGAAGGTGCGAAAACGTTCTGAAAAACACCCTATTTTCTTTTCGATTCCACCGTGACATAGATTTAAATCGCTTGTGCCCATCAAAACGTTGCAAAGATGTTCCGTGAAAACGGACATGGAGATCGCCGCCCCGAACAGCTGGCCCTCTTTGCGTTCTCTAGGACGATGGGTGGCGCCATCTTGTCGCGGTCATGTTACAAGCGGTCATTTCACCTATTAATCAGTCGAGCATCGTCAAATTTATTACAGTCTACTTACGGAAGAATTCAGACTCCATGAATCGGATCTCGAACGCTCTCGCGATTTATTGAAGGCCGTCTAGCTGGAAATCTACAGGATCGTGAAATATTGATGACGATGTACTTGGGACAGGCGATCCGAAGCTGTTTCGAAATGGATTCCGCAAATCCGGCACCCCCATTTGTGCCCTGTTTTCCCCATATTCAGCTTTACCAAATTGGAAAAAAGCGGGAATGGGATTTGATTTGTGGGGACTCGGGTTCTGTCGGGTTTCCGCTTGGTCTGGGAAGTATTTTCTAATTAATTCACTTTGGTGAACCTCCAGCGACGTGGCCAGGCCTTGTTGAAAGGGAGCGCTGCATATGCAACCCAAGAGTACTCTGGAAGTTGGGAAAAAAGAAAATCTACAAAATGCCTTGACTAAAATTTATTCAAAGAAGCAATTGTCTCTTTTAACAAATTGCGCTACTCCTGTGACTAGGGACCTTGCAGAAAAATATGGCCCTTCAGTGGATTAAGAAATAGAACTAGGGTCAACCAGAAGTATAAACAACCAAATTGGAACCAGATTATTGACGCCAGTGAGTTTCGGTTGTGCTATGCTATGTAAGGCGCTCTCTTGACAAACTGTTTGTTTCCCACATTCCAAAGCGCAAACGTGTTGGACACTATCTTGTCGAAACAAAGGACAAAAACAACGGATCCAGATTCCTATCGTAACCGCACTTCAACTCCAATGGATCAACATTCAGTCGTGAAATTGTTTTTGTTAATTTTGTAGAAATCGGAGTTTGGGAGAGAGAATTTTTTGAGTATCAATCGCTCCTCATGGGAGACACCCGCACATTTGGCTTCCATTTGGGATCATTATGGCTTGTGAAGACATATTGCCTAATAAAATGACTACAAACAGTCAGCTGATGTACAGTTCGGTTGTCGCGCCGGCAGCAACGCCTTGCGCCCTCGCTATAGATGGCATCGGGGGTAGGAGCGCTCAGGAGCGGCGTCGCCGTCGGCGTGGGGTCCGATCGGGGTCTTACGCGGCACTCGCTCCCGAACCTTGCCACGCGGGATGTTGCTTTGGGCCTTGCAGCCCCTACGCTGGTCCTACACCCCAACTACCGCCCTACGCGTGCTACATCCTACAACATCGAGCAGCCTGCGCACAGCCAACTACATCATCCGAGCCAGATATAACCTTCCACGGCGTGTAAACTATCTACGATATTAAGCCTTCGACACAGTATTCAAGTCAGTCCTTCTGGTTACGCCAGTAATAAACAAAAGGATATAATGGTAACAAATGCATCATAAATACATATGTACAAAAGGGGAACATTAAGAACTTCAGTAATTAAAAGCTGGGATTATGACCAGTGAACCTATGTATCAGGAAGCTCGAACCCAGTGTGTAAAGGCACAGTTCCCGATAATTTTGAGGTACCCCTTTTTAGGTAGGAAAGTGGAAGTGTTTATGCAGAGGAGTACATCGGTCAGGAAGAAAGCGAGAAAATCCGTTCACTTCAAGACTTTTGAAGAGTAGTGGAAGTGGAGTTGTACGATTTTACCGTGACTGTAATGGCACGTAAGGGGTGTTTGGACGAAATTTAACTTGCTCCCATTGCTCAAAGAAATGGCTACATCAAACAGAAATTGCCTAAAACTGCCTTTCGCTGTCGCCATGGGTTATGACAAGTTGCTTGAACTTGCTACATGGGAGTCTCTTGAGATAGTACAGCCTCTACAAAGCTGTTGAAACTCGTCCACGATGGCTGTGGCATTCACACGATACGTTCTCTGGCTCCTTATTGTGCCCTATCCATGACGTTTTTCGACTTCATAATGGGAGGTATGGTATAAGGGGGAGCCTCGAATTCATACTACAGGGAAATCTCAAAAACCATTTTTGAACTGTGCCTTTAAGTCTCACGAGGAGTGACGTGACTTGGGAATGCTCGGTGCCTTCGGGCTCCCACGCCCGAGTCGATCACTATGCGGTTGGTAGGATTGCATCAGATCTTCATCTTCGAGCAAGTTCGACGGCAGGACTACACGGCGTGGCGGCCGGATACGACGACGACACGCAGACACACTGCCTGGTGTTTCAGGCCAGAGTACGCGTCTATCATAGCCGACGCGCAGGTGCCGATACCCTAATCCCGCCGAGACCCCCGCGCGCTCTGCCAGGCGTGGCCCTTTAAAAAGTCGGGCGGACGACACGACATCGGTGTTTGTATTCTCCCTTTTATTTATACTCTGCTTTTGTCACCCGGATGTGAGGCCGGTTGAGAAATAGCGAAAAAGGCTTCGGGGTTTTTGACCACAAGGAAAAAATCGATTTCAATCCGCAAAGTTGATTTTAGGACTAAATTGGACAAAGGGAAGTCTGTGCTACAGATGAGAATATTCCTATCTAGGTCGCAATTCCTTTGAAACGAGTTCCATTTGGAGGATTAAAATTAGTACTGACGTGACTTTGCGGAAAAACCTAATCTCCTTTAGTCGCCCGCAATTTCGGTGGACGAAGTGTCATGGTATTGGGCGCATTTGCAATAAAATTGTGATGTGGAATGGGGACCGGCAAAACGGATTGCCAGGAACGTTAGAAGAACGTCTAAAGCCAATCTCGGGCCGACGGCGTCTATCAAGCAATGTTTTTCAGCAGGACAATGCTGCCATCGAGGTTAGGCGGTGAAGGGAAGAATGAGTGCCCTCCCTCACTATGAACGTTCTCCCTTGGCCATCGTGTAGTTTTGTAGGCGACCAAGCAAGAAGTACCCTAAACCGCAAGTGTTTCACCCTTTTCATTACCATTGGCCGGCTCATTCGATTTTTGCCCAGGCCAACCAAGCCATCCATACCTCGCCTATTGGTACCGGGCTCGTGTGGGGATAAAGGCCTGACTTGTACGTTGGCTGGCCTCCACAATTCATTGTTTAGACACACCCATTAAGAACCGCCATTACAATTCTGAATGGAAATCAGGTGCGGGGCGCATCCCTCAGAGAGGTTGGTTTACGCCAGCGGGCTGGCCCTTCATCTTTTACCGTCATTTATGGGTTCATATTATATGTTTCGAATGTTGCATCATCGTTCCAATCTATATACACCTATCTTGTCTAGCTGAGCGGATCAGCGGTAATGGAATTAGGGACCTGAACCATTAATTTGTTCCCATTTGCCAAATGAGCCCCGAAAATGGTAATAACGGCAGGTCTCAGTTAAGTCGATAGGTTTTTTCACACTTCGCCTGATCACATGTGATCCTTTTTATCATCGAGTCGCACCTTTTGGCCAGGTTCCCTACTTAGAGCGACTTTACGCCTTCGAAAAGAATGGATCGTAAAAAGCGCATTGTGAACTGCGTATCTTCTTCGTATTTAAGTGTGCATGACGGCGTGAACGGTTGTTACGGCTGGTAAGTGTGTAGGCGAGCGAGAACCCGTCGCCAGAGTGCCCAATCCCCACGACACCGCCATTATCACCTAATCGAAGTCGTCTAGTCTGTTACAACTTTCAGTTATGCGCTTGTATCTCTTCAACCATTGATAGCTCGTGTAATGATCCGGCTTGGCTTTATTTTCATCATTTCGATGTTTCTTTTTTAATCTTGGAGTTATTTTAAAATTTTGCTTCCCCTTCTCTTTGAATTACTTGATTAGGTAGTCGAGGGTGAATCTCTTACATTTACTCGCTTGGGGCAGTTCCGCTGTGGTTCGCGTAGAAACTCTCCGAGAGCCTACTACGTCGT